TCCTTTACCCTTGTTATTAGCTCCCCACTTGTCCCCAATTCCCCTCCCCCCCCTCCCCGGCCATACCCCTAAAGAAACATTAATTCAATTACTGTTTCTATTAGATTTACCAATCCTGGATTCATATGCAGAAAAAAATTTCAAAACAAAAACTAACAAGGATAACACACATAAAAACCTCAATTGAAGAAAGAAAATATTAAAAACTAGACCACATTTCAATGTGTCATCAGGGAGGTCAGAAGATAGGGTGCTGCTTAGGCTCCTTTCCAGAACGTGCCTGTCTTTGGTCTTTTACCAAATGTGGAGCCATTTTGAGTTATAAAAGATAGGGTGCTAAATTTTAACCTAACTGCACCTGCAACCATCCATTTTCCAAGGCGCACTGCATGATAGCAAGGATATTCACATCCCTGGCCCATGGTCAGAGGGGATTCACCAGGAGCTTAATCCACAGGTATTTCCTCTTCACTTAAAAAAAACAAAAACAACTTAGCCAACTGCCTCCCCAGCTCCTCCAGGAAAAATAGGCGTCTTCATTGCTCAGGTTATTTTCAGAAAGCAGAGTCAAAGGGTCACACCAAGTTCATTTCACTTTGCTCTTTCCTTCATTCACACCACCTGGTGTGAATGCACACTGTCATCTCCTTTGCCTGGAATGTTCTCAAGGAGACCTGGTGGCCCATCGGTAAAGCATTAGGCTCTAACACAAATGGTGGGCTGTTTGAACCTGCCAGGCGCTTTGTAGGGGGAAAGATGTGGCAGCCTGCTTCTGGAAAGATCTAGCCATGCTTTGAAACCCAGTGGGGCAGTTCTACTGCCTTGTACGATCACTAGGAATCTAAGTCGACTGTGTGGGAACTGACAGTGGCAGTGGTTTTGGGCTGGGGCTTGGGAATGTTCTTACTCCAGCTGTTTACCTCACTTTGTTCATATCCCTGCTTAAGTGTGACCTTACCAGGGAAATCTTTCCTGCTCACCTTCTATCTCCACTTAGAAAAGAAACCCATTGCTGTCCAACTGTGACTCATGATGACCCCATATGTACCTTGTTTTATTTTCCCCCACATCACTGCTCGATGAGGGACTTCAAAAAGGTCATGAAAAATTCCATTATCCAGTTTTCTGAGCACCTGTTTTGCAAAAGGCTGTGGATGTCAGTGACAGCCCAAAATCCATTTGCAGGGTCACCAAACATATTAAGCCTCCACTGAATTATTTCTGATCATTAACCAAGGCTGTAGATAATCTTGCCCTCAGGCACAGTGCCTTGGAAAATAGAGGTTCTCTACTCCTCTCCAGCCAGCCCAGGGAGGGGTAGTCCCTCTCCTAGGGGCTTGGCCTGGGTGTGTCCTTAATGGGGGTCACCATACTAAGGACAGCACAGGGGGGTTGGTCCCATAGTAATGAGTCTTACCATGACTGTCTTGTTTGAAAGGCCCTGGAACAATCCTGTAAGCCCTTCTACAGTCGGCAGCAGTGAGTTTGGTGGCTTTAGATCCTTGGATCCCATTTTGATCCCGTGTGCATGGCCTTCCTCATCCGGATATGTCTGTGTCTTTGTCTCTTTGAAGACCTAATAAATGTTCTCCTTATATATGAGATGGGGTCTCTTTTGTACCCTAAACACCATGAACTTTTGGAATATTCCTTGTCTTTCTTTTTTATTAAAAGATCATTGTACTGGGAACTCTTACAACTCTTGTTACAATCCATACATCGATTGCATCAGGCGAATTTGTGCATATGTTGTCTTCATTCTTTTCTAGACATTTACCTTCTATTGAGCCCTTGATATCAGCTCTTTTTTTCCCCCACCCCTTGTCTTTCCACAGCCAGAAAAACCACCTGGCCCATAGTAGGCCTTCGAAAAATATTTGTTCCGTTCATGTGGATATAATAACACCCACACTCAGCCACTTTGATCAGGCAGGAGATCCAGTTTCCCCTCACTCCCACATCATTTCGCCACCCTTACTCTGTCCAAATACCAAACTGCCCGGGAGAGAGGGCCCTTTTCTAGCCCAGACCCGCCTTCTCAAGGACTTCCTGGCTTTAGCTCCATCAGAACAGTGACTATAAAGCCATTTTACACTTTTGAGAATCCCACTGCATTTTCTTGGAATTGGAATTGAGGTGGCCTTTACCTTGAGTCTTTAAGGGGCTGTTTTCAAAAAATTGGGGAGGCCTTTACCCTGAGCCCTTAAAGGGCTGTCTTTTTTTGTGTGTGGCCATTCTCCTTTGGAGAATCACAATGGCCTTCGAAAGACATGATGGCCTCCTAACTGCAAGGTCAGCAATTCAAACCCACCAGTCACTTGGCAAGAGAAAGGTGAGGCTCTTTGCCCCTGTAGAGATGTACAGCCTCAGAAACCCAAAAGAGTCCTTCTATTTTGTCTTAGGTGGTCGATATGAGCCAGAATCAACCGAATGGAGTGAATTTGACTTAGGAGAGCTTACATAACCTGCTTTCTCTATCCCCCTCGAAGTAGCCTCAAATTATGTTATCTAGTAAACATAGTTACACAAATACCCAGTATTTTTCTGTATATTTGCATCTTTGAGACTTTCCTCCCCAATGATGCTTCTCATCTCTAACAAGACTCACTCTCCCTCTCTTATCTTTTTACCTGGAGGACATGCTGGTGAAGGTGCTCCTGTTCATCCCAGCCCACTGAACAGAGATAGAAGGGCGGGAGTGCAAGGGTGAGACAGACACACAGCTCTTGATGTGGGGAGCAGAAAGGGAATTTGTAAAATGTCACCTCTCATTTTCTGTAGTAGATGGCTACCTGTCTGCTACGTCTCCAGAGGCTGTGAGTGTGGACTCTTGGATCTGCTTCACCTCCACTCCCACCTGTTCTCGATGATGGAGGGCTCCTTTTGAACCTGGGGCAAGGCCCAAGTTTGGAGCTTTGTCTCATGTTAGAAGCTGAGCTGTGATTTACAAACACTCCTGTGAGAAGTAATACATTAGTTTTAAATCCTGTAAAAGTAGAACCGATGGATGACAGATTCTTCCGTTTGGGGAGGCAGAAGAGAAAGGGCATTTTAAGATACCCTTTGGCTGTAGGGAGAGGCCTTACTGGGGTGAAGCTTGATCACATTCAAGCTGCTTTTGTCCCCCACCCCACCCCCCTGAAAGGGGCAGCTGCATAAGGAGACAGCATGCAGAAAGAGGGCACCTGAGCGATCAAGTTAAATGATTCATTACCAGGTTCTTCCCCAGAAATAGAAATGAAAAACCATTTTGCTTTTTTTCTGTCTTTTTGGGTTTTGCCAGTCAGCCAGAGTCACCTTAATGATTTGTGTTGGGACCCCACGGTCTCCACTATTGTCTTTTCCCCTTTAAAAATTACCAGGTGCAATCAAAAAGTGGATGAAGGGAGACGTCGGACAGGGCAAGATATGACAAAATACCCATTTATAAACTATCAAGGGCTCATGAGGGAGGGGGGAGCGGGGAGGTAGGGGAAAAATGAGGACCTAATGTCGGGGGTTTAAGTGGAGAGAAAATGTTTTGAGAAACGATGTACAAATGCGCTTTACACAATTGATGTGTGTATGGATTGGGATAACAGTTGTATGAGCCCCTAATAAAAATGTTAAAAAAGAAAAAAAAAAATTACCAGGTGCAAAGAAACCTGAGAAACACTGCTTCCGGCACCTTTTCCTGAGTCCCCAGGAGCTCCCGGACCTCAGGCCCCCGACCCAAGGAATTATGGGAACAAGTTTTCCTCATAGGGTCAGGCTCCAACAGCACTAATCTGGCTAAAGGCCAGGGTAAAGAATCAGGGAGAAGTACCAAAGTCTGGTTTAAAGTCCATCCTAGCCAGTCCAAATCCCCTGACCCAAGAGGGAGGGCTCTTCTGTCACAGGGCCAGCTTTTTAAGTAAGACACTTGGTATGTCAAAGTATCAGTCTTCCGGTCTCCTGGGCCACTTCCAGCTCTGCCCTGGGCGATGCTGGTTAACTGAGCTCTCTTCCCCTTCCTTCCCCCAAACATTAGACCCTTGACCTACCTACCGGATTAAAGGCAGGAAAGATCAGCGCAGGACTATGAGCTTTTCAGAACAGAGCATTTAAGGAGAAGGGAGAGCGTTTAAGAAAAGCAGCAGTGGAGGGAGGAGGAAAAATATGAGGAGCTGATACCAAGGGCTTAAGTGGAAAGCAAATGTTTTGAGAATGACGAGGGCAAGACATATACAAATGTGCTTGACATACAACGGATGGATGGATGTGATATGTGTGAGCCCCCAATAAAATGATTTAAACATAAATAAGTAAGTAAAAGCAAACAACAAAAATAGCAGCAGTAAACAATTTTAAACCTAGAGCCTTTCCCGGCCTCCAAACCCGTCACTGATGCGAACAGGGCTCTAGGAACCTCCCTGCCACCGCTTCCCACGTGCCGTCCCAAAGCGGCCGAGGAGCGCCACCTGGCGGCCACCCAGCCGGTCACCCGCCCAGCGCCGGACCGGGCCGAGACCGTCTCCTCCTCCCGCCGTCACTCAGCGGACTCCGCCCCTGCCCGATCGAGCCTCCCGCGAAGAAACGCCGCCCTTCCTCCCCCAAGGGAAGCACACTTCCCCAGTTGAAAATCGTGCTCCCCTAGGGATCTGCCCCACCTAGTCGCCCACGGAGAGCCGCCCCTCCCCCACGGGAACCTGCCCCCACGCCCTCTTCCTTCCCTGGAGGGGACATGCGCCGCCCCGCCCGGTCCCTCCAGGAACGGATGGATTCCCCTCCCCCCGCCCCCTCGCAGGGCGCCTCTTTACTCAGATCCAGGTTCTCAGAGACCTGCCCTCCCCTCGTCCCCAGAGAACTCAGCCCGGTCACCGGCCGCTGGCTTTGCCTCACAGGGCTGGGGGGAGGGGAGGCGCTCCTCGTCTCCTCGCCACCCGCGCCGGTGGGCGGGGCTCCCTCAGCCACGCCCCTGGTGGGACGGGCTTCAGTGACGTCATTTCCGTCTGGGCCTGGCCGCGGCTCGGGCTCCGTGGGCCGAGGTGGGGTGGGTACGGAGGTGGCAGCTGTGGGAGGAGGCGGCGCAGGAGGCCGACGAGCTCCCGGCCGGACCAGTCCTCGCGTCCTGGGCCGCGAACCCCGAGCCTGCACCGCACCGAGAGGCGAAACTGGCCGGATGGGCCGCTGAGCCCGATTCGGGGACCGGTGAGGCGGGAGCAGAGCGGGCAGCTGGGTCCGGAGCAGGAGCGGAGCCCCGGGGCTGCGGGGTCAGAGATGCTGGCGGGAGAGGGTCGGGGCTTCCTCTCCGACGCCCCGGCGGGAAGTCAGCATCCGGGGCAGCCGCCGGCCGGCGCGGCGGGGACTGGGAGGCTTTCCCGGGGGAGGCCTGGCAGCGGCCGGCTGTGAGGAGGGGGCGGGGTGGCCGGGGTCTGTACCGCACGAGAGGGCCCGCACTTGGGATTCTCAGCCCAAACTGGGGCGTCGCTCGAGGGAGGAGCGGGGGTGTCCCTCCGACCAGGGCTTCGGGAAGATGATTCTTAGTGGGCAAAGTGGAAAACTGGGAGGCTTGGGGAAATTTTCCATGCCCCTCGTGGAGAGGGTCGAAGCGCTCGAGAGTGCGGGGTTGCACGTCTGAAGGAGGCTTGGGAGGGTCGCTTCGAGTGTTTGGGAGGCATTGCTCGGAGGGACCAGGACCGAGCCGTTACCCCGAGGGGAGGAAGCGAGAGCCCGGCTGCCGCCAAGTGTCTGAGCCGGCACGTCTTTACAGCGTGGAGCCCCCTGGAGCTGAGGCCAGGATGTTCCGCTTCATGAGGGACGCGGAGCCGGAGGATCCCATGTTCCTGATGTGAGTCGGCTTCCCCCTCATGCTCTAGACTAGTGCACCTACTCCACTTCAGCTCCGGGAGGAGGTCGGACGACAGTGTCTCATTGCTTCTGTGCCATTGTCGCCCTGTGACTTGAGTGTGGGAGGGGGTCGACGGCATGGTGGTCGTACCCTCCACATCCTCTATACTCACTCCACAGGGACCCCTTTGCCATTCACCGCCAGCATATGAGCCGGATGTTGTCAGGGGGCTTTGGCTATAGCCCCTTCCTCAGCATCACAGATGGCAACATGCCAGGGACCAGGCCTGCCAGCCGCAGGATGCAGGTAATGGTTGTGCACCCATACCTGAGACCCAAAGGATGTTTCTGGCACTTCAGCCAACTTAGCCAATGAAATGGGTTACCAGGAGAAGGGTGGCCCCATGAATAAGGATCCGCACAAGGCTGATCCCAGATGTGAAGATAATTAATTGATGCATTCACTTGGCTACTTCTCCATCTCTGAAACCAGGCCACTTCACAAAAAAACAAAACAAAACTCTGACCCTAACCACTCAGAGTTAGAGCAGACAGCTATCCAGAGCTGGGTCAAAACCTCCCTGGCTACCTGAGGCCATGTCTGAGTGAGGTCTTGGCATCAACATGAGCTGGTAATCTCCAGAGAGTTGGTTGTACCCTCTCTCATGCAGAGACTGGTTCTTAAAACTGCAAGGAGCACCCCAAAGTCCTTGGTCTCTTCTCATCTTCGGGACCTTAATGAATATGTGCGATAGGGGCTTTCATGCATAATAGATGGGCTTTCTGCTCCTGTAAAAAGTTACTCTCTGAAACTCACAGGGGCGGTTGTACCCTGCCCTAAAAGGTGGCTGTGAGTTGGCATCAACTCCAACTTTGATGGCTTTGCCTTTGCCTTTTTTTTTTAAGTGATCTAATCAAACAGTGCATATGCAGACTGCCTTAGGCTGCCCCGTGTGGTATCTCTGGAACCCCTACTAACCTGACTATTTTGGAAAACAACAGCAGGTTATTATCTGAAAGGGGACTTGACGGGCCACAAAGGGGACTTGATGGGCCAAGCCAAGTTTTTTTGTCCCACTGAAGGGGTCCGAAAAGGGACTCATCCCCTTTGGAGAAGGGGATGGGAAATATTCAGAAACCCTGGGCCCTGCCTGGTGTGGGATTGTAACAGAGGATGTGGCTTCTAATTTCTCTTCCTTATGTGTCCTCAGGCTGGAGCTGTCTCCCCCTTCGGGATGCTGGGAATGGTGAGTCCTCATCTTCCCACAGTCTCCCACGTCAGACACACTCTGTAACCTTTAAATGTCCTGAGCCTCTGGAACAGCCTCACGGGTAACCCAGGCTCTTCTCTTATTATTAGTATTCACTAAGCTGAGAGTGCCAGGGTGCCCATGATCCCTGTGAATTAAAGATGCTCACTAATTTGCTGACTCCTGTTCTCCAGAGCCAGGCCCATTAGGCAGATGTAATTGGCTAGCAAAGTTTGTTCTTTTGAGGAAGGAGGTAGAGTTGAATGGCCAACTAGCAATGGTTGGTAATGTAATGACACATCCCACCTCTTTACAGGTTAGACTCCATTAACTGAGGCTTACTTCCTAAAGATAGGGGAGATAGGACCTTCAGGAGAAGAGGGAAAATTGGGTTAAGGCAGCCATAGAGAACAAGTTCTAGATGTACAATTCACTGGTCTTAAGTTTTTCAAGGTGTACAGTTGGGAGTTGCTCCCTCATTAGCAAGACCTCACTGCCCATCCACGTTCCTATCTAATAGTTCCAGTTGCTGTGGTCAACCTGATCCCCGAGAGAGAGCTCTTTATAAAAGGAGCATAGTGCACAAGGCAGACATTTTTAAATTCTTTAAGCTCACCTGTTAAATTTAAGAAGACACTAGGGGGATATTTTTGGCCTAAAGTTTAGAGATTACTTAAAGGCAAGCGTCAGGGGTTCATCCACTCTGCATGGTTCCAGAAAGTCGGTAGAGTCCCTGGTCCGTGTCAGTTGTGCTCTGCATTTCCCTCCTTTTGGTCAGGATTCTTTTATGTAATCCTTGATCGAAATGTTCAGTAATGGCAGCCAGGCATCATCCAGGGCTTCTGGTCCTGTGGCAGAGAGGGGCCAGTGAGAGAGCAGTCATTTGATGTGAAGGAAGAAGGGAGAGGAAGAGTATAGCATGGGTACCTAAACTTGATAATTCTGTGAACATTGACCTTGGTTTCCTGATTTTTTATGTCTTCCCTCCAGTCGGGTGGATTCATGGACATGTTTGGAATGATGAATGACATGATTGGGAACATGGTGAGCCTCGGGCCATACCCTCCGCAGCCTTGTTCTCAGTGAGCCCTCGGAGAGCAGGAATGGGGCAGAGCACTAGCAAAGGGGCCGGGTTGGATAAAGTCATTGCATCCTGCATCTGCGGAAGCAGCCTGATTAAGTAGCCAGAGTTCTCTCTTCCGGTTCTCCTTGCTGATTCTTAGAAGGCTTTGGGGGTGGGAGCTGAGGCCTGCTATTTTCTCAGTTCTCATATTTTGTTAGAAAGATAGGGACAGGAATGTGTAGATGAAGGGAGGGGTCCTTTTTCCTGAAGGGTGGGCCCCTTTCTTCAGAGGGGAAGCCCCTCCCTGCTCAGTGGGGTCACATCCTGCCCTCCTCAGGAACATATGACCGCTGCAGGCAACTGCCAGACCTTTTCCTCCTCCACGGTCATCTCCTACTCCAATACCGGGGATGGTGCTCCCAAGGTCTACCAAGAGACGTCAGAGATGCGCTCAGCACCAGGCGGGGTGAGTTGGGAGGCATCCCCGTGCCGTCCCAGCGAGGGCAGGACTGAGTGGCCCTCAGAGAAACGTTGCATTGCCTCCACCCACCCAGGATGGAGGTCTGTGTTGCTTGTTTGTTTGGGAAGGGGTTGAAGGTGCTGGGTTCGGCTTTCATCCCAGATCCGGGAGACGCGGAGGACTGTCCGGGACTCGGACAGTGGCCTGGAGCAGATGTCCATTGGGCACCACATCCGAGACAGGGCTCACATTCTCCAACGCTCCCGAAACCACCGCACAGGGGACCAGGAGGAGCGGCAGGACTACATCAACCTGGATGAGAGTGAGCCCCAACCCCACCCCAGCCTGCCCCTTCCTCTTCCGTGGCCCCCAGTCCAGCTCCTGTGAGGTTGGACCTGCAGTCAGCTTTCTTGCCCTGTCCCTTAGGCAAAATTAGGAATGAGCCCCTTACTCCCATCATACTCGGAGCAGCTTAGGCTGAGCCAGGTATCCACAGTGCCCTCAGGGAGGAGGGGCAAACCCTGCCCCACTTAACACCCGTTGGCTTCTCCCTGCTACTAATCTGTTTCCCCTCTCCTCTTTGTAGTTTACCTCAGCGATCTGTATTAATGTGTACTTGGAACTGGGCGGCTGGGGTGTCTGACCAACGAGTTGTCTCGCAGAACCCAATGAGCTGGAGAGAGTTACTTCCTGCCCCCACACACCTCCCAGGCCCACACACCTGCCCCCATCGCCCAGTGGCAGCTTTGTCTTAGAGGCAAGGCCTCCCGCCTGCCCCAGCCAGCAGTTGCCAGTCTCCGAACACAGGTGACCTTCTCTCTCCTTCAGGTGAGGCCGCAGCCTTCGATGATGAGTGGCGGAGAGAGACCTCCCGATTCCGGCAGCAGCGCCCTCTTGAATTCCGACGACACGAGTCTTCAGGGGGCGGGGGACGAAGGGCTGAGGGGCCTCCCCGCCTGGCTATACAGGGACCCGAGGACTCCCCCTCCCGACAGTCCCGCCGCTATGACTGGTGAAGGCCCCGGTCCTCAGCCTCTCCTGTAAGTGTTGGCTCCGGAGGAGTCAAAATGGGGTGGGGGGTCATGGCGCGTACTGTGCTGGTTTGTCAATAACGCCGCCTCGGGGTGGGAGGCGGGCACTGCAAGTTTCCAAATCCCGTCCACAGTGGTGTGAGGGCAGTTGGCCACCGAGGGGGAGGATGCTCGGGCTGGAATCGGAAATTCAGCCCCAACGCTCGGCTTTTCTATTCTCGCTCCCGGCTGCCTCACTGTGTTGCCCTTCCTCTTTCAGGTGCAACCTCGAGAGGCTGGGACATCGTCCCCTGAGAGAACTTACCCCTCTCCAACTCCCACCCCCAATTTAATATTAATAGGCAAGCCGGCCCCCACCTCTCCCTGGGGGGCCTCAGGGCGAACGTGCACAGCCCCTCGTACCTACTTCTGTACGCCCCTTACCATGATGTGTCCGCTAACTTGATTTTTCATTTTGCTGCTCCACCTCCCTCCCCGCCCCCGCCACGCAGAGAAGGAAAGGTCTGTGGAGGTAAGCTCTGGGTGCAGGGGCCTCCTGGTCTTCGTACACCTCTCCCTCAGAGCCCCATAGGGGCCATTGGACCTTGACCAGGAGAGGACCAGGGAGAGGACTGGTCTCATTCCCAACTCCTTCCCGCCCCCCTCCACACACATAACAAAAGTCTCCCTTACACCCTCCTCTGCCTTTATTTTTGATTTGTGCAACTTGTAACTAGGTGTTTACGGAATAAAGAAGAGTGGAAAAGACTAAGTGGGTTTCCAGCTGTACTTTGGCACTTTCCCTCATTTCAACCTCCGCTGTCTCCGTCTGGTCACTTCCTTACTCTCCCTCGTGTCTCCTGAGTCAGGCCCGGGCCTCAGTGAGTGACCACGGGAACGCCACCAGTGCATTGGCTTATGGGGGGAAGCCAGGGCTAGGGGAGTGGGGGCTCTGAGAACCTGCTGGCTCTAAGTATGCCATGGCCCAGAGATGCCGAAGACATTCCTGCCCCTTGCCCCTTGAGCACAGTGTCCACTCTGGGCCTTGGGATGGAACATGTGCTGTACAGACAGGAGGGAACTCCAGTCAGCAGTGGACTTCAAACCCTCCACCTCCCAGTTGTGGAGAATTTGAGCCCAGAGAAGAAAACAAAGCTGGAACCTGAGCAGAACTGGAAGGGAATGAGAAGCTCACGTTTCTCAAGACTTTCACTCTTGACTGACCTGGCTAAGCCAAATGGGGCACACTGTTCATTGTCTGCACAACTTCACGAGAGTCTGAGGGGGCTTCTGCTTGATTAAAACCATTAGTCTTGGTCAGGGGCAAAACGATTATTAAGACTCTTGGGCCTCTGGAAGGCAGGCTTCCTCTCATGTTATATGATGGGCAAGACAGATGAGTCACTCAACTACAGGGAGCTGTTGGGTTCAACACCCAGGTACTCCCTGACTGGTCCAGGGCGCTGTTCATAAATCTCAGGCCTTAAATAGCTGGTGAAGAAGCTACATGACCAGGGCCATGACAGAGGACCCTCTAGTTAAAAGCATGCAGGAGTCCCAGAAGTCAGACATAAAAGCATCACCACCTGGATTGCTGAACATGGGTGCCTGGACCCAGAGCCCCTGCAGTCCTTGGTTCAGCTGTGCCACCAACTGAACCACATGGCGTTCGTGGGTCACCCACGCCCTGGACCTCAGTGACGTAGGCCCCTTCTCGCCACAAAAAGATGCACTGCAGTTCACACTCGCCCTTCACCTGGATTTCAGTACAGGGCTTACTTACCCTTGGGTGTGATTCTGAGTGAGGGCTGGAGCAAGGCAAGGGTGGCCCTGATGTCAATCTCCTGTTTCATAAGCTCTCCCACGCCTCCTGCCGGTCAGGCACATGAACTGAGTCACCCCTGCTTCCTGCTCTAGGGCGAGGACCACCATCATCCCAGCACTCATTCCCAGGATCTGTAACCAGTTCTCAGCAGGGATATGGATATGTTGTGGAAGGCCAGGTTTTCGCTACAGTGTAGTGAGATGCATTAGAACAAGCCCCCTGGCACTAACTGACCTGTCTGACCTATGGGGTGAGGGCCAGGACCAGAGTTAAGAAAGTCACTCAGGAGGTTGCTGAAAGATAAACACAGGGTCAACCCCATCTGGCCAGCCTTACACACAAGTCCCTCCCCCCGCCCCGCCCTCTGTCTGACAGACTCATTTTCTCCACCCCAGAAAATTAGATGGATACCTGGAGGGAGACAGCAGAGCAATAGAAGTACAATTATGAATGCAGAAACTGGCATCAGCAAGATCTAGCTCCAAATGTGATTGACATCAAAATGGATGGATGGATGGATGGATTATGATAAGAGCTGTATGAGTCCCCAGTAAAATGATTTTTTTAAAAAATCTAGCTCCATCACTTAGAAGCCATGACTGTAGTTCAGTTTGTCAAATCTTTCTAAATAGCAGGTTCCTACTTGATAAAATGGATCTTTCTAGGCACTGGTGGAAGCAGCACAAAGAGCCCTTCCCAAAGTTGTGAAAATTAAAGTGTACTGAAACAAAGCCTCTGACACTGCACAGGATACAAGCAATTGCTATAGTAAGACGGGCACTTCCTCCGATGTCTGCCGACTTTACTCTGCCCTTCAGATCTGCAACAGTGGATGGCACGCACAGTGCTCGGGGCCGGGCAGTGTGTGGCATGAGGTGGAACCAACAACCGCCCCTAACACCAACACTATGCTCGCCTTGCTCTTCTGTGCTTCCGGATGGCCACTCACCTGTAAGTTCCATCCTCGGAAATAGGCTCTCCAAGCATGTAAAATCCTTATGGGCGCAGACAGCCTTATTGCTCTCCCCCAGAGCAGGTTTGAACCACCAACCTTGTGGTTAGCAGCTCAATGCGTAAGCTACAGCAGCACCTCCTAACATGTACTTCCAGGGCACGCACTGCCTGAAAATCATCTTGTCCTTGAATCAGTCCCTATCACCCACTCTCAGTCTCCCCGCTAACCTCTCCGAGCCGCGCCATGCCTCAGACCAAGTAGAAACATGTTTCGGTCACTCTGCCAGTAGTACGGCGGGACCCTGCACGTTGCTGTGACACTGGAGTTACCCCGCCGCCACTTCAAGTACAAGCATGGTGACCCATGGTGGACAGGTTTCGGAGTTTTCAGACTGAAAACAGACCAGGCAGAAGGAATAGGCAGTCCACTTCTGAAAGCGTTATGACCAGAAGTGCCTGAGGATGAGCTTCTCAAAGTACAGTTGACCATAATGCTGCGAATAGAGCCAAGCTTTCAGGACCTTCATTTGCTAAAGCGTCATGACTCAATGTGGGGGAAAAGCCAGCCCTCCACAACTAATCGCGGGTTCAATAGGCAGAATTGTACGGGTGAGATATATAAAGATTACAGTAAAGTCTTAGAGCGCATGAGAGAGAAAAGAGAAATTGAAATAATGGAGTCAGACACATTTCATAGTAGCATGCTCACCTCAGCCCCGCTTGGTGGTCCATGTGGAGAGAGAAGGGGAGGGGAAGGAGGGCAAGGGGAAAGGGAACAGAGAGGACCAGAGAGGAGAGGGAGCCAATGACAAGAGGCCACAGGGAGATCTTTATTGCTAACCCAGGCCTATATACCTTGGGAGGGGGAAGGCATGCAAGCCCTCTAATTACAGGTAAAGACATACGTCCCAGGAAGGGGTTGCACTATAGCTTATACAGCAATGAGAGGGGGACGATCTAGGGATATACACTCAACAGGAAGAGGAGGGATTGAGGGTCTACATGTGACAAGAAGGGCGGATCCTAGATTCAGCATGGAAGCCTAACTTTGGACATCACTGAGCAGGTTTGACCTCTTCTCTGGATCTCCATAGAAACCATTATCAGTAGGGTATAAACTCCACCTACAGGGACCAAGCTAATGGTCCAAAGCCTTTAGGGAGAAGTAGCCCTTTGTCCTTAACAGCAGAGAGGGGGTGGGGGCCGGGGCCCTACCAGTGGTGGGCCCAGACAGTAGTCTGGCAACTGACTGCCTTCAGGGAGAATGTCTTTAAGCATCTGACCTCCCACCTTATGCTGGCGAAAAGCCTCTAATGTTTGCCATGTCTTTGGGGGAGACAAAGCTGGGAAAAGTCTCTTTATAATCCCACAACTCAAAACATCTGCAAACATCCATTAGGAATCAGAACATGGAATGTCTGAAGTATGGATCCAGGAAAATGGAACTCATCAAAAATGAAACAGAACACATAAACATTGATACCCTCGGCCTTAGAACTGAATGGATTGGTACTGATCCTTTTGGATCAATAATCATATGGTTTACTCTGCTGAGAATGGCAAATTGAAGAGGAACGGGGTCACGTTCATGATCAGAGAGACCATTTCAAGACCTTTCTTGAAGTTCAATGCTGTCTGTGATATTATCTGTATGCCTACAAGGAAGACCAGTCAATACAATGATCCAATTTATGTGCCAGCCACTGAAGCCAATGATGACGGTGAAGAATTCTACAAACTTTCTCAGTCCGAAATCAATCAAGATATATCGGTAGTTAACTGGCAAGTCGAAGGCAAAAGTTGGAAACAGGAAGGATCTGAAGTTGGAAAACATGATGAGAGGAATGATGCTGGAAATGGCATAAGAATTTTTAAAGAGCCATGATTTATTTATTGCAACTTTTATATTCTCTGGGGTTCCTGTAGGTGGAGTTCACACCCTACTGATAATGGTCTCTATCAGTCGAGCCAGGGAACAGGTCAAACCAGCTCTGTGACATCCAAAGTTAGGCTGCCATCCTGTACCTAGGATCTGCCCATCTTGCCACATGTATACCCCCAATCCCTTCCTTTCCTATTGCGTGGATACCCCTAGATCACCCCCTCCCATTACTGTATTACCTATAGCACAACCCCTTTCTCTGCCGTATGTCTTCACCTGTAGTTAGGGGGCTAGCATGTCCCCAGAGAATATAAAAGCCTTGGTTACCATTAAATATCACTCTCTCCACGTGGACCACCAAGCGAGGCTGAGGTGAGCATGCTACCATGAAATGTGTCTGGCTCCATTATTTCAATCTCTCTTCTATCTCTGGTGCTCTCTATAACTTTACTATAATCTCTACTTATTATCGCTGTACAATTGCGCCTACTGGACCCATAATGATGTCTTAGGGGCTGGATTCCCCTTGCAACACAGGAATCAAATTAAGGCAATGGAGACACTCAACATCATCAAGCAAAACAAAGCCAAGGACTGATTGTGGAATAGACCATGAATTGCTTATATGCAAGTGTTCAGGTTGAAGTTAAAGGAAATTAAAACAAGCCCAGAGGAGATCCCACCTGAATTTAGATCTCATCTCAAGAACAGCTTGGATACAGTGAACACTAATGGACGAAGCCCTGGTGGGTGGTGGGAAGACAAGAACATTATCCATGAAGAAGGAAGGGAAAAGAAAGGAAAACTGAAGTCATCACAAAGACAGGAAAGAAAGCCCGAGCATGATGATGAGATGGGAAAAGTCTGCGGCTGGGAAGCCAAAGGCAAGAATACATTCAGCATTTCTCAAACGGAAAGAACTGAAGACAAAAAGGCAAGCTTGCAGTCTAAGGATTCTGAGGACCCCGGTGTCCAGTGGAACTGCCAACTGCAAGGTCGGCAGGTTCGAGTTCATTCCCCAGGTGAAAGACTTTCTGATTCCATAAAAGACTTACGGCAGCGGTTCTCAACCTGTGGGTCACAACCCCCTTGGGGGTCGAATGATTCTTTC